AGGGGCTGGGGATTTAGCTCAGCGGCAAAAGCGCCTGCCTGGCAAGCGCAAGGTCGTGAGTTCGGTTCCCGGTACCGGAGAAAAACAAAAACAAAACAAAAACAAAAAAAAAAAACAAAACAAAAAAGAAATAGAGAGAAGTTACTATAATTAGATATGAAGAAAAAATACTACTCTATGAGGATTTACATAAGGGCAATATTATCTTGCAAAATATCTTCCTAGAAAGATTTTTTTAAGAATGAAAGTTTTTGTTAGTATTTTATATTCACAAATTCAAGAAAAAGAAAGAAATTTAACAAATTTTGAAGTCTAAATCATCCTAGAAAACAAAGTTAATATTGTCTTGGTTACAAGCTTCCTATTTCTAAGTTCACACCTGCAAACTGCACTATTTTCTGTATTTATCTTTTGAAAAATTAGTAATTTTGATACTCAATAGTTGTATCAAATAAATCAAATTTTGATTCACTTAATGAGTTAATAAGTAAATTATGTTTCCCCAAATCCCAAGGATAGTATTGGTTTATGAACTATATCTTTAAATGATTATCTATTAATGTGGAATTATGGCAACAAGTGCACGATAATTAATTAAATTTTCGTCCAAATAGTAACCATACGAGAACCTTTTAAAACCTCTTTGATGTTTTGGCATTGTAACATTGTAACTTTTATTGTAATTACATTAGATTGCCCCTACATCAGACAATGACTTTGGACGATATAACTGCACAGCCACTAATCGTATAGGAACAAAATTTCAAGAATATATTCTTGCCTTAGCTGGTAAGTACACCACTATTTTTTTGAGATCTAATACAATATTACCGTGAATGCATGAAATTTTAAGTTGATAACATAGTATTTAATTTTTCATGTCAAAAATATTTGTTACATTTTCATAAGTTACAAAACCAGTACTTAAAACTTTGAATAATTATATTTATCATATACAGAGAATTTAATCTATTTATTGATTAAGATTGATTTTAATTCTGAATCTTGCGTTCCTAAATTTATGAAATACTTGTGAAAGTAAGTAAAATGTTTTAAATCAAAGCATACTTTAAATAAAGTAAGAATTAATCAAAAAATTTGAAAAATAAAAAATTCAGAAAAAATGAACCATGGCTAACTGATTTTAAACTTCTAGATTTTAAAGAACAAATTGTAGTCTGACTTTTAAAGAAAAATGACAATTTAAGTTTACATACCTTGCTGAAAAGTTTCTTTTCAGGTGTACAAATATTGCTGTTCTTTAAAGCTTAAACATTTGAAAATAATTTGAAATCAATGTGATATATATATATATATATATATATATAGAGAGAGAGAGAGAGAGAGAAAGAGGATGCTATTATGTTTAACAAGAGTAATTAGAATTCTGAAAAATAATCATTTTTGACTTTTATTAATAATGTTTGGCATACATATTGATTACATTCATTGTGAATAATTGGAACTTGTACATAACACACTTTTTGAAAATATTTGATTTCTATAAATAACTCCTATAACTTAGGTTCAAAATGTCCTAAAGGTAGATAGAGAAATATCAGAAAATTCCTGTCATTTACATTTTAATAGAATCATATCTTCAATGATTTCTTAAATGTAACTAGTTTTATATATTTTTTAGAAAGTTAATTTTTGTTTTTCTGTAAATATATTCTCTTATTTGAAAAAGCAACCGGAAATTTTTTTACATTTGAGAATTTACAGTAAGAGCATAATACTCAGATTAGTATGCAACTTGGAAAACCAATTTTTATTTAAGTTTTTCTTGATCAGATGAGAAGGGAGAAAAAACTGTGTGGAAGGAATTAAAAGTCAGAGTTAGAAATGAAAATGTTAGAATGAGATGAAGTTACAATAGGAGAAAGACAATGGAGCAAGAGGTGAAGAAAAGAAAAAAAAAACTATTTTCTACCATGAAGCCGTTAGAAGACTACTTCCATTGAAAATCACGGGCAATACAGTATCTGCCTTTGAGAATATAAGGAAACCATTACAGGCCAATTAATTCTTAGAAAATTGATTTCATAAGTTGAGAAAACATTAATCAGTATGAGTTGAATCATCACCTGCCATTACTCATATTAATTCAAAATATTAAAAATAGGTGAACTTCTACTAGTATGATCTTCTGACATTTACATGTATGATTGTATATATAAATGTATTTGTATCAGTACCTTATTATTTATTACCTTTGCTTACAAATGATTTATTTTTATGTATTTAGGATGACTTAAGAAATGAGAAGTATTTTTTTAGGGTATAAAACTTGTAACCCTGGAGAAAACAGGAATAGATCATTATCTTGATGAGATTTAAACAATATACTGTAATTATATTCAGAGAAAATATTTAATGTTTGTGTACTTTCATATATGCCAATACTTACCTTAATATTTTTCATTGTAAAATATATATTATTATTCTCTTTTTAATTAGTAGACTAGATATTTTCCTCTGCTTAACCATAATAGAATCTTGACATTTTCATTTTATCAAAAAATTAGGAAGTTATGAAAAATATTTTTTAAATGATCCAATTTTCTTTTTAGTCCATGTTTGTAAAATTATAACCTGAACATTTCTTTCAGAAGAAGGTAGATTGAATTAAATTAATAATTAATATGTAAAAATTAATTAACAGTGAGCCTTCCTGAAGAAGCACTTTTAGTTTTGGTTTTTCTCCAGTACCGGGAACCGAACTCATGACCTTGTGCTTGCCAGGCAGGCGCTTTTGCCGCTGAGCTAAATCCCCAGCCCCCCAGAAGCATTTTTAAACATCAACATTTATAAATGTGGTTTAGTTGATGAAACTTTTATTTTATATTAATATTTCTTAAAAAGGTTTATTCTTTTCTGCAAAATTCACATGTTGAAAATATGAGAAAAAAACAAAAAATATCAAGTACACACAGATATACATAAATATCAGAGTCTGAAATTTGATCAGCTTACTTCACCTAGTAACAAATGATTACTTTGTGTGCAATATTTTACCCTGGAAGAGAGCACATAAGTTCCAAGGGGCAGTAAAGAGATAAAACTTAGCATGAAAAAATGCACTTTACATTCAGTGAATAATGTAGAAAAGATCTAGCTTTTTAGTGTTCTTTATTTCAAAATCTTCTCTTTACTCTCTTCCCTTCTTGTTCCATTCCATTTTCCCTCTTGATTACTTAAATCTTTCCTCTGAAGAAGGTACGAGTTTATGTGAAGGAAACATAGAGCATAATAGCAACCGTGTTTGAGTTTCAGAGCCTCAGTAAAGGGAATGGAGAGGAGGTAGCCTCCAGGAATTCAGTGTGGAGTGTGACACCGGGCAGAGTAAGAACGGTGTCTGTGTGCTACAGCAGGAAGAGGACTGGTGGAAGCTGATCAGTGTTGGAGGTGTCCACAGAACTTGGGTACTTGGGGGAAGTGTGGCAGTGATGGATAATTGATTTTTGCTTCCAAAGACACTCATAAAATGAGAATAAAGTAGCAGTGTGAAAAGAGATATGTAGTTATATCAACTTAAGGAGACAAGAGTTACAAGTAGGGAAAGATCACAAACTAAGATGATGTTATTCTAATAGCTATTGGAGGTTTAAGCATGAACTATGGTTTTAATGTACATAGATGGATGCACAAGATAGAAGTAATGAGAGGAGTGTGTGTGTGTGCACGCGCATTTGTGTTTGCTGAACTATTGCTACAGGAGATCATTTTAAAATAAAATCTGGGCTAGTTTTATCCACTGAAAAAGTTGAGGATTCAGAACACCGTTACAAAACAAAAGTTTGTTTCTAAATACCATTGTTAAATGGTTCATTTTACATGCAATTTTACAATGCCTTGGTAATTTACTTTTATTTTGCTAACGTTATTTTATGTATTTAAATTGACATGTAATACTGTATGCTTTTCTCTGCACTGTGCAGCATTGTGTAACATTATTAATTCATAAATAATGATAATTAGATAATTAATCATTTTTGTATAAGAGCAGTTAACATCTACTGTATTAATTTGATTTTAATTTTTTTTGCAAGCTCATGCTTGACAAGTACTCTCCCTAGTTTTCTTTACTATTTTCAGGAATAAACTATATCTTTTCCAGTTACAGAAATTTTCTTGTACTGTAGATCTCCTATACTTTATTCTTCCTCTTTAATTATAAACATATATCTTGAGCAACATGTTCCTTTCCCTCTTTTCTCCCTAACAAGCCCAACTTCTAGAAATTGTCATGATGTACACTACTTCTCTGACATTATTTTGTATTGCATACATGAGTGAAAACATATTATTTACTTTTCTGTTCTTGGCCCTTTTCACTTAAGATGAAGTCTTCTAGTTTCATTCACATTGTCATAAATGGGTGATTTACTCCTTTCCTCTGGTACAGTAGTGTTACAGTATGTATACACACCACCTTTTCTTTATCTGCCTGATGATGAGCATTTAGGTTGTTTCCATATCTTGGCTCTTGTGACTAGTGCTGAAATAAACATAGGGTTTCAACCATCTCTTCCACGTAGTCAATTCATTTCTTCTGGGTAAAGAATACTGGCACTGCTGGATGATGTGTTAGTTCTATTTTTTAACTTTCTGAAGAAATTCCATATTGTTTTACACGATGGCTATATTAATTTACATTCCCGCTGACAGTATACATGGGTTCCCTTTCTTCCGCATCTTGGGTGACACTTACTTGTTATCTTTAGTATTTCTATTAATAGGGAGTTTTAACTAAGGTGTGGTTGTGACTCATTATGGTCTTGAATTATTTTCTCTTAGGATTAATAATGAACATGTCTAATTGGGCATTTCACACCTTTTATAATTCCATATTTTTTTCTGTTCAGTTATCTCAGTTTTATATATTTTGTATATTAATCTCTATCAGTGTAGAATTTGCAAATATTTTCTGTCATTCTCAAGGTTGTTTCTTCACTCTACATAGTTTATTTTGTAGTGAAGAAGCTTTAATTTTATATATTTCTATTTGTTTATTTTGCTTGTTTCTTTTTTTCTTGAAGGCTTACACAAAAAATTATTGCCCAGAATGATGCCCAAAACATTTTCTTATGTTTTTCTGGTAGTTTTAGAGCTATAGGTTTTACATTGAAATCTTTAATATATTTTGATTTAGGTTTTCTACATTATTAGAAATAATGCTCTCATTTCATTCCTCTTCATGTGTATTTATTTCTATCTTGTTACAGTGGTCTACATGCCAGTGTTCATGCTCTTACTGTGTTGTTTTAGTTATTACAGCTGTGTATCATATTTTTATAGTACTGTAACTTCTACCTATAACTATTAGGAGAACAAAAGAAATAATATGCTACAAAATTTGAAAGGAGGGAATCAAATTGATTTTGCTTACAGGTTACATGATCTTGTATATAGAAAATTTTAAATACTATATAAAACTGTTATGACTAATAAATGAATTGAGCAGAGTTTCAAGACACAAAATAAACATGTAAAAATGTGTAGCATTTCAAAGTAGCAAATTACTTGGAAAAAGAATAAAGAGAACAATTCCATTTACAATAGCTATAAGACTAAAATACCTCATAAGCAGTTAACCTAAGATGTAAAATATCTCTAGAATTGAAACTACAAAACATTGTTAAAAATGTTGGAGGAAATGCAAAGAAATGGAAAGATATCCTCTCCTCATGGATTGGAAGAATGATACTGTTAAGATGTCTATCTTATTCAAAGTGATATACATATTCCATATAATCCTTAGCAAAATAAAATACCAATGACCTGCCTCACAAATCATACTGTTCTTATAGGACTAAAAGATACTCCAAGTCATCAAATCAATCTACCACAAAATAAAAGTGTCACTTAAAAATGTTCTTACCAAAAGGCCCTTGTTCCTGTTTTACAATGATTAGCTACTTTCCCTTTTTTCACACTAGTAGTATATTCAGATATATACTTCAAAGATATTCTTTAGGGGCTGGGGATTTAGCTCAGCGGCAAAGCGCCTGCCTGGCAAGTGCAAGGTCGTGAGTTCGGTTCCCGGTACCGGAGAAAAACCAAAAAAAAAAAAAAAAAAAGATATTCTTTATATTGCTCATTCCCATTTTGTGATTTTTTTATTAGAGAAACACATACTTGAAGCTCTTCTTGAATGTTTTCCTTCATCAATGCATTTATTACTGTCCACTGCTTTCTCATAAGAACTTATGTAGTACCACTGTGTTTATTAGCTCCTTTTCATTTGTTGACCTCTTTGATTTCATCAGAATTAAGTCAGAGAACAACTCCTTCATTATTTCTCTATACTCTATGAAATAAATGTATCAGCAAAGCAGATGTTTTGTTTTAATATTCATAATTTGATCAAACTATGCCACCAGTTATGTATGTATAGCTATCAAAATGTTAACTTATATGCAGGCAACATTTTTAGGACATTAAGTGAAAATAATACTCCTAAATGTTCTGTGATATACATCCATAAATTTGCCCCCACAAATACAATTCTAAAATTCATATAATTTATACTATTTTCCTTGTGAGGAGGTTAATTCCTAAGAAGTATAATGTGCAAAAATTTTTCGGGCATTCCAGAGTATTCCTATCTGACTTGTAGACCATGGCAACTCTTCTGCACTATTACTCAAGGCATATATTTCTATGAGGAAAATTCATATTGTACCTATTACAAAAAGCACAGTGAGACGGTGGATAGTTATTAAGAGAAGTGGCAAAATTTTATTCCCTGGCTAATCATTTACTACATGCTTAGTGTATTCCAGGTTCTTATTTATGTGTTTCACATTATTTGATTCTGCTGGTAACCTCAGCAGTGGCTATTACTCTGACTTCCATTTAGAGAGATAAATACTCATATGTGAAAAAAATTGAGAAATTTTTTTCAAGGTTGCAGATTTTGAATCCATATATCCTATCACATGTCCAGTCTTTGAATCCAAAATTATATTGGTGCTAATCGAGGAGAAAGCAAATTATAATGAAGCAAATACATTTGTATAATTCCTATTTTTCCATTATCTCATCTTATGGTGGTCTTTGTTATATATTGGAAGATGAAAGGTGCTAGGAAGTAATTTAGAAAAGTATGCTAATAGTAAGAAGAGCTCTACTTGTGGACCTGAACATCCATGAATACAATTGAATTATTGGGCTGTGTTTCTCTTTTCCAATATGGAGTTCTGTTTGCATACACTTATGTAAGTTAGGCAACCCAGAATATTGAGAGAAAGATTGCAGAGACTAAGACTGATGTTGTTAAGAGAGGGAAACTCCTATATGTCCTCTTCAGGGAAATGCAGTAATTAAAGTGGTTCTTCAGAAAGATTGATCTTGCATTTTCCAGTCACATGAATTGAAGTTTTGTGGCAAATCAAATAGAAAAGGAAGGCGAGAGCCACTGTCCTTGCTAACAAAGTCAGAAAGGGTCAGAATATGGGTACCAACATCGGAAAAAAGGATAAAATAGCACAAAGTATAATGCAGAAATTATTGAAATAATGTGGAAATTAATTGTAATGTATGCGACAAAAGACTCTAAGATGGTCACGAGACAGTTGACATGAAAAATGAAAAAGAGATATTGATTATAGGATGTCAGACTCTATTGGATATGCTCTGTATCTGTATTTTTTCATATTTTTAAAAATTGATAGGTAAAATTGTATGTAATGATTGTGTACATCATGCTCTTTTGAAGTAATGCACATTGTGGAAAATTTAAATCTAACTGATTAAAGTATGCATTGCTTCACAGATTGTATATTAGCTTTAATTTCTGGAATATATAATTTATCAACTATTTCTTCAGAACTCCATTCATACCACTTGGCTCAATGTTGCATTATATACATAGATATATTTATAAATATATGTCTGTGCAAAATATTTGATTCTTTGTCAAGAAACTTATAATTCAGTAGTCAGTCCATAATAGATTGTATATAATTTTAGAAGTCAAGATGTAGCTGGCCATGCACAATCAGAATGTAAATAATGTAAAAATACCCAAGATCTAGAAGTTATAAATATACTTTTTCTTCTAACCAGATAGCAGAAAAAAGGAGGAAAAAACTTGAAAAGGCAGGGTAAGAATCAGGAGATCTGAAAAAGGACTATAGGTTCAAAAAAGGATAGCCAGTGGCCTGCGTGCAAATGACGCTAATATTGCACTAAAAACACACATAGATTTATTCTTTGTAGGTGCACTGCATCAGTTCACACAGCTTACTCTAGAGACAGAGTAAGAAAGGGGATCATGTATAGGTCATATCATCATGAGTGAGAGGATGTATCCCTCTTCATCCCCTAGTATGTCTTATCTTTAGTAGTGCTGCATGTCCTCAAACTGAGGATCATGATTATTATAAAGTCCAATTTCAAGCTAATGGACAAAAGACAGTTGTTCAGTGTGGGTTGAAGGACTGTCAGGCATGCCAGGTAACCCATGCTGGTTTGTGTTCCTCCCTGTTCTTGGATAGGCAGAACCAATTCAGTGAAAATTGCCATATTTCCAAAATTGTTATACAGAGTCAGTGCAATTTTAAGCAAAATACCAATGTCATGACTCATAGAAGTAGTGAAAATAATCCTAAAGTTCATATGGAATCAGAAGAGACCCAGAATAGGAAAAGCAATTCTGGGCAACAAGGGCAAAGCAGCATGCATCACAATCCCCTATTTGAAGTTATACTACAACGCTATAGTGAAAAAACAAACAAACAAACAAAAAGCAAAACAAAATAACACAAAAAATCAAGTTATCAATGGAACAGAATAGAAGATGCAGAAACAACTCCAAGCGCACTTAGTTATCTTATTTTGACAAAGGGATCAAACACTTTTACTGGAAGAAAGCCAGCCTTCTTATTAAGTGGTGCTGGGAAAACTGGCTTTCCACATGCTAAAGATTGAGCGTAGACCCATATCTTTCACCATGCACTAAACTAAAATTGAACCAAAAAATCTAAATATAAAAACAAACAATCTAATGGAAGATGAAATAGGCAAAACTCTAGAAGAATAGCTGTAGGCAAAGACTTCATGAACAAAACTCCGATTGCACAGGAAATATTACCAAGAATCAACAACTGGGATCACATCAAATTAAAACTTTTTGCACAGCAAAGGAAGCACGAATAGATTGAAGAGATAACCCACAGAATGGGAAAAAAAAATCTTACCAGCTACTTCTCAGATAGGACTAATATACAGAAAACATAAAGAACTAAAAAAAACACATCTTCCAAATGAAAAGACTGAGCTCAAAAAATGTCAACAACATCACTGGTCACTCAAGAAATGAAATTGAAGACAATGCTGAGATATTGAGATTGCACCTCACACCATAAAGAATGGCTACCATCAAAAAATCAATAACAAATGCTGGTGAGGCTGTGGTGACAAAGGATCCCTGAAAGTTTATTGTAGCTAAATGAGATAAATGATATAAATGATGGTATAACTGACAGCCTGCAGTACTATTTAGTTCAGAAAACTAATATTTTACCTAACATTAATGTTTTGCTCATATTTAGTAATAAATGGCATAAAATATGCTTTTACAAAATATTGTGTACAGAAATGCAGAGAGATTATTTTTACATTTGTTATTCTTTTCTTTCTCTATGTCTGTCTCTGTCTCATTCAAACACACACAAAAGCTTGTTTCACACACTTGCACACATCAAGAAGCCTATTTTCCTTGACTTTAAAAAATGTTTATACAGCACAGAAATTTCAGATTTCAAATATTTCCTCAATAAATATTTAACAGTTTATTTCTTGAATAGTTTACTGTTATTTTCTGTAGTAGAAAGTAACTCATCATTTACTGTTCCAATTTAAAGAGCTCAGCTAGGTGTTAAGTAAGCTTTGTAACTGAAACAAGTTGTGATACAGGTAGCAAATTTCTTTTACTCCTAATTTCCATGAGCATGTAAGCCTTTCTAATGACCATTCAGATGACTTGAGCTGTGTTTCTTTGTGTTTGTCCCTTCATAGACGTGCCGTCCAGTCCCTATGGAGTGAAAGTGATAGAGCTGTCACAGACCACTGCCAAGATTTCTTTCAACAAACCAGACTCCCATGGAGGTGTGCCTATTCATCACTACCAAGTGGATGTCAAAGAAGTGGCATCAGAAACCTGGAAAATAGTACGCTCCCATGGAGTTCAAAGTGAGCATTCAGCACGTACTCACGGTTCACACGAATGTCCCGTAGACCTGCATGATTAGCTTTATGTTCCTTCCACATAGTTTTATTTTTCATTCAGTGTAGTGGAGTTGGAAGAATTTTTCACAGCTTATGCCCCTTAAGTATAACTTAAAACAAGTCACCATCTTTCATTGTATTATTCCTTTAGGCTGTTGTTGTTTTTTAGATGCCAAGAATGGAAACCAAAGCATTGCACACCCTTGGCACTGAGCTATACCCTCTCCCTCCACCTTTCCTTAAGATGGAAGAGCTTTGTAAAATCATGGAAATTTTATTCCCAGGGAAATCTTTCCTTTTAAAATTCCTAATATATTAGATCTGATGTCTAAATATTATGAAACATGAACTTATTTTCCATTAATATTTTTCGCAAATAGGTGTGAAATTCACACCTACAAAATTTAGGCCGGCTGTTTATACATTCATGTAAAATTCATCAGTCTCCTAAAATCTCTTTCAAAACTTTTAAATATGTGTTTTGAAAATTCAAGGTTTTAATCATAAATTGAACTTTTCTGTATAATGTTATTAACTGATTCTGAAAACCACAAAGGATTTAGATAACTTATATTCACCAATGTAGAATTTAATCATGTTGTGAAAACATAGTTTTATTTTCTTATTGTAAAGAGAAGTTACAGTAGGAAACGATAAGAAATTGCCCATGTTAGACTCAGCTGATTAAACATAGAACTTTTAGCAGAGCTTTGAGCAAGAGTCCCAGCTATGGGGACCCTGAAGGCCAGGCTGGGCCCCAATAGCACCACAGTGTGATTCAGGGACACTAGCAGTGGTTCAGGGCAGGAGAGGAGCTTTATATGGACATGCTGGCAGCACAGATGAAGAGAGGTAAGATCAGTTCCTGAGAGGCTTACAAAAGCTTTGGGGTTTTATAGAAAAGGGAAACAAGGACAAAGTTGGGGGAAGGGGTGTTGTGTAATTAGGATTTTGTACATTTGGCAGTTTAGTTCATCCTGCTAAAGTTCTCTGGTTGATAAGTACAGCAATACCTGGGTTCACAAACAATTCAATTTGCGAATAATTTGGCTCACAAACAAAAGCATTTGGTAAAAATTTGCTCCCATCTGGGAACTCCACATCAGACGATTATTTTCCCCATTCTGACACGTGGCTGCCTCTCACTGAGGCTGCAGTTGAGGCCAGATCTGACACACTTGCTGTGTGAAGCTATTTTGTGTGCGTTTCACCACATACGGTACTGTGCAATATTATTCAGTCCAGCCTGGCTCCAGAGAAAGTGCAGAGTGGTAATGAAGGTGAGAAGAATGTGCACACAATGAAGGCAAGGAAAAAGTGCAGGACATGAATGGTAAGATTTTGAGGAAAACATCCATTGAATTAAAAAAGGAGACTGTACAAAAGCATGCACATGGTGTTTGTGGGACTGTTCTCGCTGCATAGTACAAGATGGCAAAGTCCACGATCTTAACCATATCTGAAGAATAAAAACGCCCTCAAAGGGGCAGAGGATGCAAGTGCTGGAAGAGGGGGAAAAATTTTATTAATGTGGTTGAATGAGAAACAGTTGGAGGTCATCACATTAGCGAAGCTAGAAGCTATGAAAAAGCCAGGAAATTGTGGTGATTTACTGACAGAAACCCTCTACAAATGCAGTAAGTGAAGAATTTAAAGCAGTAGAGGGTGGTTTGTTAAATTCCACAAGTGATGTGATATCTCCAGTTTGTTAAACCTGGTCAGGCTTCCAATTCTGGCAAAACTGTTGCAGAAAACTACCAGAAAGACTTCACAGAATTCATGAATCCAGAAGGATATGTTGCTCCAATGTGTTCAACTGCGATGAAATGGCTCCTCTGGAAGAAGCTGCCATACAGAATCTATATCACGCTGGAGGAAAAGGCACTGGTGGTGCACAAGCCAATAAAGGGAAGACTGACCCTTTTGCTGTGTGTGAACATGAGCATGCATCTAAAGATTAAGCCACTACTGGTGGACCATTCCACCACCCCAGGTGCACTCAACAGAATACGAACAAGGCCATCCTGCCTGCCATGAGAAGGGCCAGTGTGAAAGCGTAGGTCACATGGCACTTGTTCATGGAATGGCTGCACAAGGTGTTTATATATACCATTAAGAAATACTTTGTGACAACCAACTGCCTGAAAGGCTCCATCTTTTGATGGACAATGCCCTGGTACACTCTGCAACCTTGGCGGATGATCTGGATGCTAAGTATGACTTCATAAATGTAAAGTCCCCTCTTGCTGCAACATGACACCTCTTCATGGATCAGCAAGTGATCTACAATTTCAAGAAGACTTGGGGCTGGGGATTTAGTTCAGTGGCACAGCACCTGCCTGGCAAGTGCAAGGTCATGAGCTCCATTCCTGGTACTGGAAGAAAAATACAAAAAAAAAAACAAAAAAAGAAGACTGCACACAGAGGGGCCCTTCCCCAGGTGTTTGAAGTCACTAACAAATGACCTTGAGTCTGAAAGAGCTCTGGAAGAAACAGTTCAATGTCCTCCACTGCACCAATTTCACTGACAAAGCCTGGGAAGATGCCACGTATTGGCATTTAAACCCAGCCTGGAGGAAACTGTGGACAGATTGTGTGAAAGTGACACTGAAGGGTCTGATGCACAGGTAGTAAAGGAAATTGTGTCCATGGGCAAGACTGTGGGTCTGGGCATCAATGGTGCAGCTACAGAAGAGCTTGCTGAGGCCATAAAAAGGAACTGATGATGGAAGAACTTGCTTAACTCCAGAGTGCGCAGTGAAAGGAGCTAATGGGGAGCATTCCACTGAGGAAGAGGAAGACGGGGAGGAGGTGAGCAATGATGTGATAAAACCCACGATGGAAAAAAGGAAGGAGTGGCAGAATTTCTTTGAGAAGCACCACCCAACATAACAGTAATGAACAGTGTTCAGTCTGATGGACAGTACCACGGTCTCTCATTTCTAAAGAGTTATGCAGCACAGGAAAAATCACATAATGTTAGAAAAATTCTTCATCAAAATTGGCTGCAGCTAAGAGCAAAGAAGAGCAGAAACCCCTGAAAGAGATCTCCCCATTGTCCTCATGGGGGGACTCTCTCGCCAAATAATAACCTCCTTCGCACATACGTTCCTGTCCTCCATGCCCGAAGTTGCCTCAAACAAGGTCAGTGTTCTCTCTCTTCATACTGTACTCTAAAGTATTGTATTTTCTTTCATGTTTTTGCGGTTGAAAAAAGTACATATGGTCCAGAAAAGTTTAGTTTTGTTTATATCAAACCTTTTGGGAAATATGATTTGGTTTGCAACCACTTTGGTTTGTGACCAGAATCGTGGAACAAATTAAGTTTGTGAACTGAGGTACCACTGTATCTCAGGACTGGTTTACTGAGATTCATGGAGAATCATCACCACCTGAGGGACTAGTTTGGTTCCCAGGATGAGATGATGGCTTCTGCTGTGAGGACAGCCTCACTTTCCATCATGGACCAATTTGTCCTGATTGAGGGTGACTCATGAATGACCGTCTTCCTCAAGACTTCTTTTCTTGAATACAAGGTGACTACACATTTAGGACAATGGATCCCAGCCTTCTAGCCATTGCTCCAAGGCATTGTAAAAACTGTTAAGTGGATATTCCTGCAAACACTGGAAATCATTTCAGTTACTATTATCTTGATGTCCTCAGTCTTAAAGGAGGATGAGATGGACTATGTAAATTTAAGGGTAACAAACCATATAATACAGACACTCCTTGAGTGATGGGCATGCCTACATGTGGAGTTGAGCTGATAAGATAGATACATAACTGAAGGCAGGAATTTGAAGATTTGTCCTGCTTTTAGTTACCCACTGGGGATCTGGGAGGCTATCCTCTGTGTCCCTGTTAGAGAACTTACTAAATCATCCAAAAGATTAGCAACGAGGAGGTATGCATCTCACGCCCCACAGACTCATTCCTACAAGAGCCAGCCTTTATATGTACAATTATTGATCAAAGATCATATGTACAAGGCCGGGTTTCAATATTAAACTTTGGTCCTCCAGAGAAGAATGAGGAAACCAATCCATGCAAACATGGAGAATGGGCAAATGGAATTGTTTCTGTGTTATCTGTTTTGACATCTGATTATTCACTTTTCATTGAGGATGCATACAGATTTTTGATAGTAATATGAGACATATTACCCTATTAATCCTCAGTCTTTTACTGTACACTTCAAATAATGTCCCCTAACAGATTTTATTATTGCTTTTAATGATGTTATATTTAGGATAATAAAAATCCTCTATGCACATACAATATATCTTATGCGAGACCTGTAAAAGTCACATCCCCCTGCCCTAAATGAGAATGGCTAAAGAAAAAAGTACAACAACATGCCCTACCTCGCTCTTCTTTTACAGATATCCTAACGAGCACTTTAAATCAAGGCATGGTTATCAAAAAGTGCTGCATGAACTCAATTCAGTATAACATAAGCATTTTTTCAGTCCATGCACTGGTTAACCCTTTCTTTTTGAACCTCTCTGTTAGCTAGTAAAATCTTTGACACGTGCTATGCCCTTATGATCATCATAAGTATAAAGGAATCCAAATGAGGTTTCCACAGATCAACACTTACAATATCTAGTTTAGCACTCGCATCTTCTCTGATTTCTCTGACTCTGAGTGCTAGTGTCAAGGAGCTTAAAGATCATGTGAACAACATCTTCTCTTGGATGCGGGACAGGAGTCAAATACCTCTTATTTTTCTAGTGTTACAATTCTCTTTCAGCTGTGCCTACTGCCTGTGCTGTCTGTGGGACATGACTTCATGCTTTTAAGTACCTGCCTCTTAGGGTCGCATGTTAAGTGTCCATACTCTCTGGAGGGCTTTCTGGAGAAAATGATCTTGGACAGGATACTGCTGCCTTTAATTTCTTGAGATGCCCTTTTCTCTGCAGGAGGTTTTGTTTTAAGTGCGGTCAGAGTCCAGCAACTTT